GGGGGGATGGGGGTAAAGTGTGGGGGGATGGGGGTAATGGGGGGAGGGGATGGGGGTACCGTGGGGGGGGGGTGGGGGTACCGGGTGGGGGGGTGGGGTGGGGGGGGGTGGGGGTACCGTGTGGGGCAGTGGGGTGGGGTGGGGTGGGGGTTGTGAGCGCTGGGACCCTGGTCCATGCTCCAGAAGCCCACTGAGCCGTTTGTTTCTGCTTCCCCCAGGGGACGGTGATTGTGGAGCGATGGTGGCAGGTACCACTGTCCAAGGAGGGCAGGCCTCCCAGACTGCACCCCAGGAGACACCGGGTCTACAGATTGGTGGAGGACATCAAACACAGGCCCAGGGGGAACCTGGAGCTCATCCTGACCCAGACGGTGCCCAGTACGTATCGAACCGCACTCTCTCTCTCTCTCTCTCACTGTCTGTCTGTCTCTCTCTCTGTCTCTGTCTGTCTGTGTCTATCTCTCTCTCTCTCTCTCTATCCCGTTCCCGAGCTCCCTGTTAACCCGGTCTCATTCTCTCCTTACTCCCTCAATACAGAGCTCGGAGGCCGAGGGGACACTGTGTTTGTGAAAAAGTCTGTTGGTCGGAACCAGCTCCTTCCCCGAGGTCTAGCAGTCTACGCCTCACCTGAGAACAAAGCTGTCTTCGAGGAGGAGAGAAGGGTGAGTGAAGCATTCTCCACGTGAGCCGGGCTATCCCAGTCTCCGGCACAGCTCCCATATCCCACCTCACCCCTCGGTCCCCACAGTCAGCTCCCCATTCCCATCCCCGCCCCAGGGAGACCCGTTGTACCTTCACCCAGTGCTACTGGAGTGGAGAAGTCTGTAGGGAGTTGGCATTCCATCCAAATGAAATGTGTTGTTGTTTTTAACAGTTGCTTCACGAGGGCAAACCAGAGGAAAGGCTGCAAACCCGGACGGGAGAAATGGTGAGAGTCATCTACAACCCCTTCCCCCTCCCATTTCCCCCTCCCATTTCCCCCTCCCATTTCCCCCTCCCATTTCCCCCTCCCATTTCCCCCTCCCATTTCCCCCTCCCATTTCCCCCTCCCATTTCCCCCTCCCATTTCCCCCT